TCTTCTTGCACGAGGCTACGCCCTCACACTTTGATTCTGGTGTTGGCTACGTCCACACAGAATATGTTTTATTTGGAGAAGTACTCCATACTTTATAAACCTTGTGAGATTTTATTCTCGTTTATTTGTCATGGCTACGTCCTCACACGTGTTAATCTGAGGCTACGTCCTCATTATTTCTTAGTGGCGTTTTTATTGGGCGAGTGGTGCGGCCACTTTGTTGTGTGCCATGCTCGACCCAGCCCTTTATTGTAGTTTTATTTTATCTTGTTAGATTTTATACTTCATAAGCTTTTAGTATTCTCCCACTACGTTTCTGAGTGTGTTTTTCAGGAATTTTACCATGCCTGCCACTCGAAATGAACGTGCTCAGTGACCAGTATCGGTAGCCGTACCACCAGCATGCCGTTCCCATCGCGCTCGAGCGCCCCGTGCCTCAGGAACAACCACAACGGTTCCCTCGTCCAGTTATCATCGACCAGCAACAGCTGCTCCTCTTGCTCCATCCTCGGCTATCACGCCCCAACAGCTCCAAGAGATCGTCAGCTTGGTAACCGCAGAAGTGACTCGACGCCTGCAAACTGTAGCAACTCCAGTGCCTGGTGTCCACGCAGTCCCATCGAGTTCTCCTTCTGGACCTGCTGCCTCAGTTACGGAATCGCCTATTGTCCGCACCTCAGAGCATGTTGCGACTCCGACGGCTGTGGCGCAACTTGCTGTTTCCAATGCTCTTGGTTCGGCCCACGCCACAATTTCAGGTGAGACGTTTTTGGCGCCTAATTCTAGCCATGTTCAACCAACGCAGGAATATCACTCTATTAGTTTACCTATAGACTGTCGGATTTCCATTAAACTTAAAAATAAAATTTGGAACGATGAGTACATTGATTTCGGGTCTTTGTTGAGCAATCCAATGTCAGATAACAAATTCCAATTGAGCTTTAGCTCTTTTGACGCCGGTTTACCACCATCTCTTTCAGTAGAGCCGATAAGTAAAGCCAAGAAAATAACAAATATTTCTGTTTGGATGAGTGCGTTTCGTATTTTTGTAGGGGTTTATGCTCAAAAGTATCCTCATGAGTCCCCCGCACTCATGAAATACGGGGATATAGTACAGGACTTGGCAGATCGGGGTCAAAATTGGCGGTTCTATGATGAAAACTTTCGCTTTTTGCGTCAAATCCAGCGTAGTTTGTTGTCTTGGGCCAATGTTCACTGGGAATTGTGGCTCCGATCGCAGCATAATTCGCAAAAATCACCCAGTACAATGCAACGTGCCCCGTTTACCCTTTCTGGTAAGGGGCCGCAAAATGCAATTCCTCGAGGCTACTGCTTCAAGTTTCACAAAGGAGAGGCTTGTTCTGGGTGTGAATTTAAACATTTCTGTTTTAAGTGTGACGGCCTACACCCTGGGGCCGGTTGTATAAAAAAGTGATTAAAGTTAACTATAGTAAGTGGAAACGTCATCCAATAGGAAGCGCGTATTTGAGAGTTAATCACTATTTAACTACAAAATAGTGATTGAAAAAGTGATTAAGAGTTTTATACAACCGGCCCCTGGCCTTAAATGTAATTTTCGTGGCCAACTTAGGCGAGATTTTCCCAGACCAACCCGTAATTCTGCCAAGTCAGGTGCTGCTCCCAACGCCAATCAACCTAAATCGGCTTGAGCCATATTTAAACGGCTATTTTGCAGACATAATTTCTACGCTCGTTTCTGGTTTTACTCATGGTTTTGCGTTTCATTCTTCTGGTGTTGTTAATCAGTGGCGAAGCCAGCGTCGTTGAGTGGTCATACAAACGAGCGCCGAAGGCGTGAGACATCCTAGGGAGGTCCGGGGGCATGCCCCCCCGGAACATTTTTGAAATATATACCCCAGAAACGCCATTTGCAGCAATCTGAGCATCAAATTTCAGAAAATAGCTTGATCTAATAAGGGGAAAATATGTGGATATTTTGGCATATTTCAGACAACAATAATGAAGATCGACACAAAAATAGGAAATCTGTGTCTGCAGTTCCGCTAATTATAGTCATACCGGCAATTGTGCATTTCTTTTCGATCAGAAAATATTACATGCATGTTCTGTATTATCATAGTCTGTATAGACTACCTAATTGCTATCCCCTTGTAGTATTCCAACGTGAAGTCTGAAGAGTTTTCACATTTCCAGAACTAGATACAATTTTATCCACATATACTAACGGAACATAATGACAAATAGCTGCTAATACAGTCAGTATAATCTAGAATACAGGTATAATATGCAGGACTTGGAAAACATAACGCATGAACCTTGATCAACTTCCTTAATTTAAAATCAATCGCCCAATTATTACAATATTACATACAGAAATGAATTAAGCATTATCAGATGTTTGAGTAGAAGTTTTACTGTCAGTTTTATAGCCGAATTCTGCATTCATATCGATTATTGGCTATTGCCAATATTGGATATTTTCGAACGCACGGGGAGTATGTACCAAATGTTAAATACAATTTAACAATATATATTGAAATTTCTTTGTTTGTTCCACAAACAAGTATATATCAAATATGTTGCTAAATCACAATCGCTAAAATGTTTGTGTTGCGTGTTGAAATGTATAAGCTTTGCAGCGCTATTTATAGAACTACATTGTTTACTACATTGACCTCGACATTGACATTGTATTTCATATAGTATATAGCGTTCGATGCTTTATACGCCTATGCTCGGGTTGAAGGCTTAAATATTCAAGACAAAATACATGTAACAATAACTAAATATCAATAGGCAATAGCTTATTTAGCCTCAGCCTGACTGGCTAAGCCATTCTTTCTTTGAATACCACGGCATTTGAAAACCTTCCCGATCGGGCATGTCGAAAGGTCTGGCGTTTGTCTCTGCTTATAAACAATAATATTCTGCTCAGCAGAAAATGGTTTCTTCACCAATTCCCAAACAATATCGTAAGCTTCGAGTAAAGAAGAAGTCGACATGCTTGAATGACCTGAAGACGTGTTCATTCAGGCTGAAAGCTTCGAGCTAAGAGGCTGTGATCAGGTTGTGTTGCCCGTTTAGTCATGCAAATCGAAAATTGCATGACCAAGGCGTCAAAAACAGCCGCCTTGCGCGTGCGCGAACGTCGTAAGCCAATCAGAAACCAACAAACCTAATATAAAATAATACAGCTAGTCATGAAATTCTGAAAGTGCATGACCAAAACCCACAGCGAGCAAACCACGCAGCAATCACACGCAATCTTTTTCCACGCGCTTACGCAACCGGTCATGCATGTGAAAATATGCAGGACCGCTCAGTTGCCAAGGTAACAAAGCCAAAATCAACATACGAGAATATTTAGCAAGAATATCGCCTAAAGACCATTGATTTGGGTAAACAAAATAATAAATAAAACACTTAGGCGTAGAAGTGCAAAGATAAAGTATAATTCCATTGTAAACAATTATACTGAACTGATTTTTAAACATTTTTGGGGAAATTTTTTAGTCATGCACTGCATGACCTGCATGACCGCTGGCTTCGCCACAGTTGTTAATACCCAAGAAGGCAAAAATCTGCCTTCGGCTTTAGCTAATCCAACCGTGGTTGATAGAAAACTTGCTAAAGAACTGTCAGCTCTCAGGCTTGCAGGGCCTTTTACTGCCGCGCCATTTCACCCATGCATTTAGGGTTTCTCCGTTAGGTCTAGTCCCAAAAAAGACAATAGGCGAATTTCGTTTGATTCACCATTTGTCATTCCCGCGCGGTTCTTCTGTCAACGATGGCATAGCTACCGAAAACACTAGCGTGCACTATGCCACAGTTGCAGATGCTATTCGTTTAATTAAACTCGCGGGACCTGGATGTTTTCTTGCAAAAACCGACGTGAAGAACGCTTTTCGCATTATACCAATTCGACCCTCCGACCATTATCTGTTGGGCATGAAATGGCGCGGACGGTTTTATTTCGATCGCTGCTTGCCTATGCGTGCAGCCAGTTCTTGCAAAACCTTTGAAGTTTTTAGTACTGCGCTTCAATGGATTGCTCAACACAAACTCGATATCGACTATATTTTACATTTACTTGATGCTTTCTAGCATTTTGTGCATTTATTGGTCTGCCGCTGGCACAAGAGAAAACCTTTGGGCCTTCGACAACCCTATCTTTCGCCGGAATTGAGCGTTTATACCATTAATCTTGAAGTGCGTTTACCTCGCGATAAGCTGCAAAAATGCGTGGAGTTTATCAGCGAAAAAACTTTGCACGAAATTCAGTCCCTAGTTGGCCTGTTAAATTTTGCGTGCAGCGTCGTCACCCCAGGAAGGGCATTTTTGAGTCGACTGATCGATCTCACCCACGGCGTCCGTTTCTCTCATCACCTAATAAAACTTAATGGCGAGGCTAAAGAGGATTTAAACGTTTGGTTATCTTTCCTGTCAACATTTAATGGCCGATCATTCTTTCTTGATGACAGATGGCAAAATTCCTCTAAACTTAATTTGTTCACGGACGCCGCGGGTGGCATCGGTTTTGGTGCAATTTTTGGCACGGAATTCTGCCACGGTTTCTGGCCCGATCACTGGCGCCACCGTAACATTGCCATTTTGGAATTCTACCCCATTGTTCTGAGTCTGTATTTATGGGGTCATAAGATGGCGAATCATAGCATTTTATTTTTTACTGATAATGAAGCACTCGTTCATGTCATTAATAAGCAATCATGCAAGGACAAGGCATTGATGTTTTTTGTTCGCAAGCTTATTCTTGTTTGTTTAAACCACAATATTTTATTTAAAGCCAAACACATTCCTGGGACGTACAATCGCCTGGCTGATCTTTTGTCTCGATTTCAGGTTCAAACCTTCAAACGCGAAGCACCAGCCTCGATGAATTCCTGTGCAACGGACATTCCGCGGCATCTGTTGCCATCGAATTGGGAAATATCGTTTCCCACTTGACACAATCGAGCCTCCAGCCATCCTCAATTCCGACTTACCGACGCGCTTGGAAACTTTTTGACCAATTTCATTCTCATGTGTTTCAAACATTTTCATATAAATTACCAATTTCGCCTCCTACATTAGCACTTTTTATCGCCTACATGTTTGACCGGCGCTACGCCCCCTCTACTGTCAACACTTACGTCTCGGCTCTCGGCTATTCCCACAAATTAATGGGATTGATGAATCCCACTAAAATATTTTACATTGTGCAAATGTTGAAAGGCTATGGCAAACAGGGTTTTCGTTTGGACGCTAGGTTGCCTATTACGCTAACGATTTTAAATCGATTAGTAATGGCTGTGCCACACTGTGTCGCTACGTACTACGACCAGTGCCAATTTCGTGCGATGTGTGCTCTAGCATTCTTCGCATTTTTGAGCATGGGTGAGATCACCGCAACATCACAGCCGGGCAATTGCCCTATACAGTTAAACCAGCTCACCAAACTCTCAAGAGATGGTGAAGTGATTGGTTACAAATTAATATTTGCTGATTACAAGCATAACTACAATCAGCGACCATTTACTATGGTCATCACCGGCAAACAAGCGCTTGCCCTGTACAATTATTATCAACATATTTAAATCATCGTGGCTGTAGTCCGGGTCCAGTATTTATGACAGTGGAGGGCGTCGCGGTGCCGAGAAAAGTTTTTACCGCTAACCTTGTTGCTTGCCTCAAATACTGTGACCTAAGTCTGTCGCATTACAAATCACATTCGTTTCGAATCGGTGCAGCATCTTTCGCTGCTGAGAATGGTTTGTCCGATGCACAGATTCGTCTTCTAGGTCGGTGGAAAACGAATGCATTTCAAAAGTATATTCGAGTTTCATCTCTTTCAACGACTGCTTCATTATCTGAGTAACACAATCCTTCCAAACCGGGCGACAATGTCGCGGGGTGTTGTCACTTGGTCCGTTGCATAGCATATTTGGTGGTCCAGAGGGCCTGTCTAGCAGGGGCGGACATCTCTTCTTGATCACCAGATATATTAATGTTCATTAGTAATTATTCACTTAAATTAAACTGTTATTTCTGACTATTTTATTCCTTTCTGTGTGTGAACAACAGTTAGCAGGGGCGACTGTTAAATGTTTAGTGGTTGTGTTAACAACAGTCAGCAGGGGCGACTGTTAGATGTTTAGTATTGAAGGGCTCTATTTACAACATTCTGCTATTACTCATAATGGTTTCGCAGAGGTGACTGCTTTCGATCGGCCTACACTACAGTTAACAGGGGTTACTGCGGTGTATTTTGGCTCGCTATAAAACATTATAATAATTACATGCTCTTTGCTAGTGGTGTTGCGTTTTCCTTGGGTGGGGAGACTCGTACGCGATTTACGTCCGACTGACTTCAATAGCATAGTCTTTGGCGTGTAGTCCTGCCACCTTTCTGGCAATGAACATTAACAGACTCAAGTTATTAACTGAAATTATCAATTTTAATGATTTTATGATATTTCTAATTAAATGACGAGATTTTAAATAAAGCGGCTGTGAATCAATTTCACAGCCAAATTATCCCAAGTCGGGAGTTTTGTTTTGCCAGTAAACTGAGCTCGTTAAACGCAACACCTCATGAAAAGCAGGAAGGCAAAGACATAAATAAAAATATTTCCTACGGAAATATGGTTTTTTATGTCAAGCCTGAATTATAGTGATAAGATAAAAGTAGGAAATAGTTAGATTGGATTGTGGCAGATTAAGGTGGGACTTGGCGGAGAAGGAAATTCTGGTGCTTTTACCTACGTAAGAAACATTAAGTCAAGGCCAAATTTTAGCTACTAAAAGCAAAGCAAAGTTATTCACTTCTCAATTCAACCTTTCTCGTGATCGAGTGAAGACATACGAATTTTCTTCCCACCTCCTCCCGCTGGCCTGCCGCTTTGTATTTTAGTTTGTTGTCTTTTCTTGTACATATCATTATTATACCTTTTTTTGCCTAATTGGCGTGTAGTCCTGCCACCTTTACTGGCAATGAACATTAACAGACTCAAGTTATTAACTGAAATTATCAATTTTAATGATTTTATGATATTTCTAATTAAATGACGAGATTTTAAATAAAGCGGCTGTGAATCAATTTCACAGCCAAATTATCCCAAGTCGGGTGTTTTGTTTTGCCAGTAAACTGAGCTCGTTAAACGCAACACCTCGTGAAAAGCAGGAAGGCAAAGACATAAATAACATTTAGAACTTGGAACAGCACCAGAAATCGCTTCTGACAAAATCAGTTCCGTTTGTTTTCATGCTTTGAATATTACAACTAATCAACAACTTTAAACTAGCTATTTTAAACCTTCCTGAGTTTGACTAACTTTGTCAATTCTGGAGTTAAGCTTCCAGCTGCAGCTGATTTCTTAACAGCTTCATAACTATCTGAAGAACAAATGCTACAATTATCTAATCCTGCTTCTAAGGGGAAACCGCAATAGCAAATATTTTCCATACTAACTTCTTTTGGTATGTATTCCGATTTATATTTGGTATACTTAGTATGCAACGGATCATTTCTTCTGACCCAAACATTTGCCATGAAGTCATGCCTGAGAACCATAAACCAATGCATAGATTTAGTGGAATGCCTGGCATATTGGGCCAGCCTAACATGTTTCGCTTCCCTCCCTTGCATGCTATTGAGGCTCAAAGCTAAACCGTACTTGTCAAATAGTATCTGAGTATGTCTAGGAATGGCATAACCAATAGTCCAAAGAGTGGGTGTGATGTTATTAAAAAGCAGCATATTAGCATTATAAAAATACTGGCATGCTTTCTTACACCCGTCAATTCCTGCCTGATCTATGTTTACACGAGAGAAATACGAGATGGCATCTCTCAATTGCAAACAACAGTATGCAATTGCTGCAAGCCGAAGTTTTGTTTCAGGATCATTTCTGATCAGAATCATTTCTGAGACAAGCTATAAGAAACATAAATTTGTGGCAAAATTTGTGTTTCTTTGCCAGTAAATCTGTAGGCAAATGACCTTTTGCGACCTTCACTGAACCATTTTTTGACCTTAAATAATCTAGTAGCCTTTAGTTGCTCTTTTAATGCTACGAAATACAAAAAAAATGGTGCGTCATTCGGCAGACTGTCAATATCTATGAAATTTGCAGCAATTTTTGACTTACTCAATGCAATTTCCAAAATAAGCAAATGCATATAACCCCAGGCATTATTTGCATTATGCAATGGTTCTGCCATTCCATGATCAATAAGCTTACCAATTATGGGCTCACTTTCTTGTCTAGAACCCTGTTCCCTAATGTAATTCAAAACCTGGTTTCTTTTGGTTGCTTCGGAAACTTTCTTACTTTCTAACTTCCCTTTCTTAAGTGTAACTTTCTCTGCTACCTTAATTCTATCATTGTAAACCCATGGGTGCCAGGTACAACTGGCATCCTCTCCTAAAGAGCCGTTACTGGCCATTTTATTGTCATTATTGACATCCCCAAATGGAGAGAAATAATATGCTGCATTATTTAACTCTCCTCCCATGAAAGATAGCCACTTCATATCACTTGGAAGAAGGTCTACAGTGAATTTTACATCAAAGGCTTTTATTTTGTAAGTCTGCTTTTCAATGTAGGCAATATCAGAAACAAGTTTCCTAGCATATCTCTGCATGCTCATATGTGTCTCAGAACAATTTGCTCCACACAAAAGAAAATTGTCATTTTGGCTTTGCACATGCTTGCCAACATTTGAAAATGATATAAGCCATGCTGTGGCTTCGTCATCTTTTCCGAAAGGTGCACCAAGGGCAATTCTGAAATGATAAGGGGTACTTCCAAAATGATGTAAAAATGGTGTGGGCAACGTCTGATCAACAACAATATATAACTCAGCTAAAATATATAATATATAACAACAATATATAACTCTCTGTAGGAACCTGGAACTTGTTCCTCAAGTTTGTCATATTCTTGACAAAATACAGCTGAAAAATCCCTGATATTGTCCACATTATTTGCTGACTTTATAAAGGCTATGAGCTTATCATAATATAGCAGCTTGGGATTAAATGCAATTGCTAGAATTTGGTACAGTGGCTAGAATATTTCTACATACAGACTTGTACTTTTCTTTCATCAAAAGACCTCCCTCATAAAGAATTTTGAGGCTACGGCAAATATTATCATTACCACTTTGATACAGTTCTGTCTCCGATTTTACTATCGAAGGCATAATCTTTTTATTCACTGTTTCAGAATTTGAAAGAAAATCTTTAAGAGTATCAGTTGAAGATTTGTTGTCCAATTTTACCCACATTCCAGCAAGGGCTGATGACTTTTTACCTTTCTGATCACCATGTATTTCTTTGCATGCATTCAAAGTTTCCTTCTGTCTTCTTCGACTTGATGTCTCAGATAAGGAGGCTTGAAAGGTATCTGAATTCTCTACATTTGCCTCTGAGGGAGTCATTTGTCGGAATGTCATCTTTCTCTTGGATGGTAACCTTGTTCCAGTTTCGTCATCATTCTCAAGTAATGATGTAAGCTTTTCTTTACGACGCTTAAGCTGTAACAGTTAGTATCATTTAGTACCATATATAGGAATGCAAAGTAGTAACTTATTTATTTGTCCTGTGTCTGCAAAGATGCACTGAATAGACCGGGCCTGATATCTTCACTAAATAGTGAGACAATCTTATTACAACTTTCAGGCAGGGTGGGTGTGACCTATCAGGTATAAAGTTATATCGCCTTTGATTACAAACCAGATGAAGCCTAAGAGTCTCCCTTTGATCGCATTAGATATGATAATATGGCATTAAATATAGTAGGGCATATTTCTGTTTTAATAATGGTAACAACTAACAAATAACAAGACATGCCATGGGGGATATTAATAATTCTGCTTGGGGTGCATTTAAACCCATTATTCCCAAAGGACTATCGTCTATCTTGGCTAACATAGTCCAGTAAATGTAAGAGTAAAATACTTAATGAATAGTAATAAATACTAAATAAAAATTCATGTGCTTCTTGGGTTTGTGCAAATGTCATATATCGACGCCTTGACATTTAATTATAAATACACTACATTTGTTTACTACATACCCTTTTTGTTGTTCTCTCTATATCTTTATCCACTTGTTTTAGGTCATTTCTTAACTGAACAATCGTAGCATTTTTTGCAACACAATCTTCTCTCAACTTTTTTCGTTCTTGAGCCAATTCGCCAAGAGGAAACTGATCTTTCGCGGCAGATTTTTTAAAACTCATCAGTCTGCCAATTTGTCTCCACAAAGTTCTCATCACAAAGACATGTTTTAAAGCAGAAAGTCCTTGCTTATCAATAACATAGCCATACTTAAAATTTCTATGGTTTTGAAATTCTCAAAAGTCTCATGATCGCTGCAGTAAAGCTTTGAAATGGGTCCAAAATCTTACACCATTTGCTGTGTAATGGCGGTTACTTTTTTGCAAAACCACGGTATAATTAGGGATAAAAGCGTTGGCCTCATAAACAAACCTTCAAAAACAAAGAGTGACCCTAGGTAGTCCTGAAAAACTCATTTATTCCTATAATGTACTTAGTGTATCCACTGTATATTTCAAGCAAATAAATTAGCATGATATTTTAGACTAGACAGTTCTGGGTGCCATCTTGATTTTTTTTGCTGGACAGGCAAAAGGTCGCAATCGTGGCATTAACAGCCCGCCGTGATGAAATCTGCTTTCGCAACCTGCTCTTTATTGATTTTTCTCATCCCTTGTAAAAAATACTCCTTTGGTTCCAAGTTTACCTCGTTGAAAATGTTGAAAGCAGCCTCAGCACCAATATTAAAGTGTGCCACAGCATCAGACCACATGCTCCAGAACATGAAATCCAACAAACATATTCTTCAGAATCCTGTTCCAAATCATGCCATTTATTTACTCATTTTGGTTTTGTGTTTCTCCATCCAGACACTTGCTCAGGAGCTCAATACTGCTGAGTCTTATAAAGATTGGTTTTATCAATTTATGTAATCTGGCAAGCCAGGTCCAGGAACATAATTACTTGTCTGATTGGCTTTGTCATGTTTGAAATGACACTAATTGTCGGGTCCATCAGGGCAGTCATTTTCACTTCTCTGAAATATACGTTTCACATCTTCGGTTTCCATGGAAGCAGATGAACCCATGTGATTCATTTTGCACTTTCCAACATGCTTTTGTTTCTCTATAGCTTTCTTTCCCATATCATTTCCAGTACTATTCTTTGACAACACCATGACACACTTTACTCAACACTTCGACAAGACATTTCCCATTCTCCATTGACCGGATTGTCACACACCCATTCAACGAATGTCTCTGGCTTTGCCATGTTTCATTGCAAGAAACAGCACACTGGTTTATTTCCTCCAACTGATCATTTCCTTGCTCATTGGCAGCATCTTTCATTGTTTTCATAGCCACAGCCTTTGCTGCCTTTGCTAGAGCAATGTTACAAGCCCTGTAAGCAGTAGGCTGGGGAGGAGGTAGCATGTTCATCAAGGCCACAAAATCGTTTGGCTGTTGTATGGCCTTTACCAACACTTTGCATGGCATAAACAAACCTCTTATTTCCATCAAAAATGTATCCTTGCTTCTTAGAAGTGTGAAATGTATATACTCACCCACAACTTTCACATCGTGCTCTCTCAGATGGGAAACACACAACCCTTTCTTTCATTTTCATTGTCTTTGAGAACAAGACTTGAGTTGCCACATTGTTTACAACAAACCTCAGTCACAAATTCAAATAATAACTCCATATATTAACAGTTTTTTTCTTTTCTGCCACATGAAATATTGTGGCTGTCGATTTTTCTTGTGGAAGCAGATTTATTCAGCCCATTGTTTGAAGGCCTTTGAAGTAGAAGCTTCCGAATGTGTGCTGTATTGTAGAAAACTTCATCTTACTTTTATATAGTGACTAGTGAGCACGAGTTCTAGTCAGCGTTTATATACAGTGATGTGAGTTTATAGTTTATATTAAATAAAGAACGTTATCTAAAGTGAATTGTGAGTTTTAAGGAAACGTAGTGGCTTGAGAGTGCTACGTTTTCAACACAGTGACGACCACCCGGCAGGATTAGCGCGAACCTTTTGTGAGAAAGAGGAAATTTTTTTAGTTGGCAACAAGCGTACACGTTTCGTCGGCAAAGTGAAAGTGAGTGAGTTTGTCCATTGTCATTTTGTGAATAATCATTGAAATCCACTAGCTTGGCTTCGTTTTGATATTTGGGACTTAATATCTGGGATTTTTAAACAACATTTTTCGAATTTTGTGCTATAAACTGTTGATTTTGTGTGGAAATATTTATCCATGCACCCATTTGATCACCAACGAACTAAAAAGATATTGAAGCAGCTGCTTAAGAGAGTGTGATGTTAAAAGAACAACAGCAGAAGCTGCAGTTTGAGAAAGAATTGACAGAGCAACGATTACATCAAGAGCAAGAATCTGTTGAAGAGAAAAGAAAACGTGACCTGGAACATCATGAAAGGCTGAAAGAGGTTCAACAAAGCTCAACCCTACACGAAACTGGTTTTGTAAGAATGCCAAAGCTGGTTATAACTAAATTTGAGGGAACACCTCAAGACTGGGTCAAATTGTGGGGACAATTCCATGCACAGATTGACAAATCCAATGCGGACCCTGTTACGAAGTTTTCGTACCTAAAGGAGCTAGTGGAAATTAAGGTACGGAAATTAATTGATGGGCTCCCGTTTACAGATGAAGGATATGAAAAAGCGAAGAGTCTTTTGGAGAAAAAATATGGAGATTCGAGTGAAGTAGTTGGTGCATATGTGAGAAGTATACTGGAGTTACCGACCATACGAGAACGAGACACAACAACACAAGGTGAAAATACACAACTTTTATGAAACACTGTCATACAATGTTGAGTCATTACAAACATTGAACAGTCTTGGGAAACTGGATGCGGCAGTTAGATTCACCGTTGACAAATTGGATGCGATTAAGAGCGAATTAGCGATGACTAATGAAAACTGGAACAAATGGACCTTTGAACAATTTGTTGAAGCTCTCGGAAAGTGGACGGAAAACAATCCAGTAAAAGATAGTCAACAGAAGAAGTTTCCAAGAGAAAGGGGTAGATAATTTTTTGCAAATAGAGACAATGGTAATGCGTATCACACGAGAGGTTGTCTCTTCTGTTCTGATGAAAACCAAAAAGCCCTTAATTGTGACAAAGTTGTTCGATGTGAAGACCGGAAGAAAATCTTCGCAGAAAAGCATCTGTGCTTCAACTGTGCGGGGGGCAAACACAGAGCTGTGGATTGTAAGAGCAAGAGTAGATGCCAAACATGTGGTGGAAAACATCACACTACAATTTGTGACAAAAATTAGAAGCCTCGAGAGCCTGGAATGACTGCCAGTCACATTGGTCCAAGTTCTGTGATTCACCCAGTAGTGGTTGTATGCATAAACGGCTATAAATTCTGAGCCTTACTGGATAGCGGTGCCAGTCATTCTTACGCGTTGACAACAGCTATTGATCTTAGTGGTGCTAAGGTAAAATCGACTAGCCTTTGTCAAATTGCTATGCTAACAGGAATCACAACCAGAATGATGCAAGTGTATAACGTTCAAGTCAGTTCCTTAGCCAACGATTTTAGCTTGAATGTAAATCTCATGAAGATTGAGAACAGGGAACTTTTGTCATTGGAGAACCCTCACTACAGCACACTCATTCAAGAATACAAGCATCTTAAAGAAGTACATATAGATGATGATGATCCCAAGGATCTTCTTCCAATTCATCTCATGTTTGGCACAAACGACTATGCAAAGATACGCACTGGAGAGAAACTACTCGTGGGTCGTATGGGGGAGCCTGTGGCAGAACCTACAAGATTCAGTTGGGCTATGATGTCACTGGGCACGGAACAAGAAACAACGGTTGGTTGCTTGGCTGTTAATTCAACAACTGACTACGATAACCTCTGTTCATTGGATATACTTGGACTGGCCGATACTCTTGATCACAAGGATCATTTCATGGACGAGTTTAAAGAACAGCTGACAATGAGTGATGATTGGCGATTTGAGACCTCTTTACCCTGGAAGCCTAATCACCAACTACTGTACAACAACTGCGAAGGAAGTTTACGAAGAACAAATGCACTTGTACTAAAGCTAAGGCGAACAAACATATCTGCGAAGTATGATGCAGAGATTCGAGATCAACTCAGCGAAGGGATTGACGAAAGGGCCCCACAAAAGGTTACCAGAAAGGGATTTTATATTCCCCGCCGAGCGGTTATTAGAGAAAATGCTGAATCCGCCAAGATTCGTGTCGTGTATGATGCGTCAGCCCATCCTAGTGAAACTTCTCCCTCCTTGAACGACTGCCTACTCACTGGTCCTCTGCTACATAACCAACTTTGGTCAGTCCTTGTTAGAAATCGTTTCAACCCATTGGCACTCACAGGTGATCTTCGAAAGGCCTTCCTTCAAATCGTGATTTGTGAAGCTGATCGGGATGCCCTTCGCTTTCTTTGGATCTGTGATCTGCAGTCCACCAAGATAGGAGTACTTCGTCCAATTCCCCATGCACCACTAGGGGCCGTCTGCCTACCGGTCACCTCCCCCACCGCTTGCGCAGCCGTGCACAGCCATCCACAACTCCTCTGCGATCCATCTGCCACATCGTCCGCAAGCTCACCGCACCCCACACCCCCTGAAGGGCTTGACAGAATCAATATAAAGGTAAGCGGTTCTGTAAAGAAAACAGCCATGTCAATTTCAATAACCAAGGTAGAGGGATTCTCTGGAAAATCGTTTGACTTTGAGGAACCTGTCGGAAATAGATTTGGGTCTGAGAGTATTGGGCTTGTGGCGGAGGAAGGCAGACCCCTCTTGCTTTTACTAAAGGACTGCTTAGCTTATGGGATCAATAAGGACAAGAAGTTTGGGAAGGAGAACTTTACCATCCCATTGGCGGTTGGAAACCATAAGGATTTCATATCAGCCCTGGAAGTATTGGAGAGAAGATGTGCTGAGGAGACCGGAAAGTCCGGGGCAAACGTCATAAGGTGTTTCTATCGAGGTGGGAAGCAACCTGTCTTGTATGCAAAGATCAATGAAACTACGGCGATGTATAAGGATGGGGGAGGGGATATAGATCCCATGAAATCCACCAGTAAGCATTTTTATCTGGATGCTTTGGTTAGGTTCCCAAGCATATATGTGTCTGGGGATATGGTATCCGTTCAGGTACTACTTCAGGAGGGGGTATGGGAAAGGAAGGCGGAACCCTGGAAGAGGCTTTTGCGTCCACCTACGGATAAATAAAGGAGTACTTGGATTCATTTAAATTTTAATGTTCCTTCGGATATTAAAATTGGTTTGTTAGGATTCCTATTAGCTTAGGTTCTTATGTCCTATTGCCGTGGTGTGTATTCTGTCTTCGTTGATTATTCTTTTGTCATCGCTTGCCGATAGGGCTACCTTGACGACCCTTTCCGTGTATATTTCATGCAGTCTGCTTCTGAAGACATTCATTCCTCTCCATTGTTTCTTACCACTGAAGAGGCATTCTTTGTAGTTGTCGAGTGTTATTTCCTTTTTTATGACTGCCTTCTTAACACCCTTACACTTTTTCTCCTCATCCCCATCTTCCGCCATTTTGTAGGCGTACAGTTTTGCTCTGAGCCCTACGAATTCTTCGATCTGCTTTGCGCCTGTTTCTATTTTCATCAATCCTATAACCTTGCTGGTATCAAATTTTTCGTAGACATCATTGGAAATGTCTTTGAAGAAATCTTCGGTGGTTGCTTCGTAGCATAGTGAGTCTGTGTCTGTGAATGGTAGTTTAGCATCATTCCCATACATTGGTTTGATGTAGTTATAGTGAAAGTCGTACATGAGGATTTTGCTGATATCCAGGATACTCATTCCTAGGTATATGGGTTTTGTGAGTTTTACGGATGTTCTCATGTGGACTGCCACCAAGTTTTCGGAAAAGATGGTTGCCGATTTGAAGTTGTGTTTTTTGGCTAGCTTGTTCCATTTCTTTTCGTCGTTGACGATTCTGATATCAACCCTATTCCTTACGTTTTCCATGGTTTTTCCGAATACGGAGTTATTCATAAGTTTGAAGAAATCTTTTTCGAAGTCTGTGGTTCCTTTGGTACGAAGGTCTGTGTTGAGCTGGATGTATTCTTTCATCCAGTCCCTTTCGAGGAATTTAACTCCGGTGTATTTTGATTAGCTTCAACCCCAAGCTCAGGTATTGCTTTAGGTTTGTGTGGTGGAGGACGTATTTTTCCTTATTGTTGAGGTTAGGGATGAGCTTTTCCATCTTGTTAGCTGTTACTCTTTCGGGTGCTAGGAGGTATTCGTTGTGTAGGTCGTGGAGATCATTGGGGTATTCTAGATCCACTTCGAGGATGCAACTGTGTTCCTCCCATTTTCCCAACTCGTTGCTGTTCATCCATTTGAAGTCCTTGATGAGTAGGGGCTGACTCATTGCCCATCCATAGAGGTTGTTTGCGTCCATATAGGGGAGGTACCTGCTTTTCTTCGTGGGATCGTAATTAGTCATGTACTTGTTGTTGGCTACGGCGTGTCTCTTGGTGATGGTGCTGATTCCTCCGCGGATTCCCCGTTCTATGAGTAGGTACATGTCTGGATCGGATATAAGTTCTGATTCCACTTTGGTTAGTTTTAGGCATGCATCCCAGGCAAGTCCTGGCGCTGTGTAGTACCATAAAGGGTCAAGTCCATGGTTCGCTCTGCATACCTTTCTGAAGTTTTCCATTATGTCTGCTAGTAGGAGGATGTCTGTTTTAAGGTAAAGGTCGTGATAATCCCTCATGGTTTTCATGTCGAAGGTGTTCCACGCGTTTTGTGCTCTCTTGTAGTCGGTGTCGCTGATGTCTCTGTTGGTAAGACTCCTGAAGAACTTGCTTTTAGGTGGGAGGGATGTTTCTTCCTGTCTGTCAAATCCGTTCATATATTCGTAGGGGTATACGCTTTCTGCTTAAGGATTTCCCGTTGCTCCGCGGTGTAGTGAGATGTCATTAGGTCCAGATTTTCGAAGTCGTCCTTACCTAGACCCTGGTGAGTTTGTCCAGGGAGCTTGCCATAAATTTGAAGGAGTCCAGGAATCTTAATTCCCTTTTGACCTTCTTTTCCTTACCATCCTTATCTTTAAACTTGTCAACCTCTACTTCCTTGGTAAAGGATATGTACTTTTCTTCCGTCTTTGGGATGCATTTGATGCCTCCACTGCTCACCCCGAGGTTTTTGATAAATAAGTGGGCATCATACCCTTCAAGGTTATGGAAGAGGACTGGTATGAATTTTGGTTGCTTCATCTTGAGGTTGCACGAGTTGTGTGCTGCACCTCTGTACTTTCCTGTGTAGTGGCAGTGGTCTCTGACTTTGTAGTCACTTTTTGTAAATTCCCCTTTACATGCATAGCATTGTCTGGACAGGTTGTAATTTTTGGTATCTTTAGAGGTCATCCTAATGGGAGCCGGCGTTTTGAATCGGTTGTAGATATCCTTTCTTTCCTCTACAAGCATGTCCACAAATTTTTTGGTGATGTCTTCCCCCTCGTACTGCTGGGTATAGTGTACCAGCTTGGGTTTGTAGATGGAGTCGTCGAAGCACTTAATGTAGTAGCAGAATCCGCTGGGGTTGTGTTTCTGGTATTGTGTGGTACTTGACTTGTCTAGACTTTGCTCTTCTGCAATCAATTTCCTGATGTAGCACTCAAAGTCTGCGTAAATGGTAATTGGAAATTCCTGTGTCTTTTCATAGTTTTCGAATTTTGTGGTGCTACCAGGGTTTTGGATATTCGTGTCTTTGGTAGTCATTGTTCGAGCATAATTCCAAGTGTTTTTCTAGGAGTTCGTTTGACTCGAATGCATTAAGGCATCGGTCGCATATGTATTTTTTGTGTTCGTTTTTGCTGATTTGTGAGCCAACGAGTTTTGACATGTCCTTAACAACACTGTAATGGTTTTTCCATAGGAAGAGTCTTATGGGATCGGTTTTTCCTGATACTCATAAAGGGTAGACCTTGAGGCTTTCGTCGGCCCTGAATACATTAATACCGATGTTATTACTGTTTTTCTCAAATTTCCTAATATCATCTATGGGTGTTGGGAAATCGATCCCTTCCCAGTTTAGCTCTTCGGATTGTCTTTTGAGTTCCTTTGAAATTCTTTCCGGATGGGTGTCGGTTGGATTTAGGGCGCGTGTGACAGCCCACTTGAAACATTCGTCGTCGTCATTCTTCATGTTGATAATTGCTTTCTTGCTACAATCCTGGCAAAAATTATTGTGGACACTGCGTGCGTCAAACAAAAATAGATGTATTTCTACAAAATTAATCCCCAGAAAATTTCTCCCCCTCCTACCCCCAATTCAATGTTGGTAAATGAAACTTTTAAAATTCAAATGGGAGAAACAACATTGAATAGGGGGCAGGGGGCGAGAAATTTCATGAAAGAACGTCTCAATGTTAATATTGGCTTTAGAAAAATTAGGCGTCCACATCATTTTTGCCAGGATTGTCTGAAAATAACCTAAAAAAAAATCGATAGTTTTCACTTAAAGCAGGCCTTTTACTATAATTTTTTGATTTTGCCATTGCTTTAGGATAACAAAAAGATTGTTTAAACTGGTTTAATTTTTTTTAAAGCATATTTGTAATTTTGTGGGTGAGCAGCTTTTGGCCATGATATATGCTTTGCTGAGCTAATTATGCAGACGCAGTAAGACAAGTTTCAACAAAAGTACTTTAAGCGCATCACAAAATTCACACTAAATATAACAGACTATAGGGTTATTTTATGTTATCTGAAGTGCTCACTATTTTCAAATTTTTTATAACCAACACAGCCCAACAGCGACTGCGTGTAGAGCGCCTTTAGTCTAACAGTGACGTCACACGCTGTGTAGCGTGGTGATAAAAATATTTAAGCTGTGTATTCTTTACTACACGCTACACAAGTGTGTACCGTGTGACGTCACTGTTACATTAAAGGCGCTCTACAGTCGCTGTTGGGCTGCGTTTGTTATAAAAAATCTAAAAATAGTGAGCGCTTCGGATGCATATACACTAAAGTATCCCTATAGTCTGTTATATTTAGTGTGAATTTGGTTACGCTACACAGCCGTAATTAATCATGTGACATGTGTCACATGACTTTGTATATAAGTATTTGGACACCTAGTATTATTATTTGTTATATTCACATAGTAGCATGCTAGTAAAGACGTAATAAAAGTTGCTTAGAAACATAACATGGTGGCAGTGGTGGGATACAAAGATATAAGGAAATCTAAGGAATAAGACAAAGCTAGATCGCAGTCGAACAAGCGACAAATGCTCCAATCATACATGGGATTCAACCGCCAACAGGTTTGGATCTGATATCAAGAAATAAAGCCGAGAATTGGAAGGCATATAAACAACGCTGGGAAAACTACATAATTGTGACACAGCTAGACAAACAACCAGAAGAATATCGAGTCGCATTATTCCTATACTGCATAGGTCTTACCGGATCAATTTACTAAACTTTCAAAATAACACTACTTACACATTTATACAGTTTAAACAGTTATATTGTATGAATACATGGGAATATGATGCTCCATGCTCCAAACCCATTGCAAAATGTTGCATTATGCATTTTGAAATGCATATATTACCAAATAATGCGAATGATTCAGGTAAAACAACCTTGCATTTTTTGGCTGAAAATTTTGCACTCAGGTTTGACTAAGTACTAAAACATAATGCTGAATAATTTGTTATACGAAAATATTGCTTGGTAGAGTTGCAGACTAAGTTGTAATTGTATAAATCCAGATAATACGTAAAAAGCCACTTGACATGTAATGTGATAGGTGACACTTAACATAGATCGGAAAGTAAAAAAATACTAAATATAACCTAATTTACTAATTGTTTGCCCCTTCTGCCAATCAAACAAGCCTATTATATCATTGAATCGAGCCTTAAATTCATGAAATCAGACGGTTTGAAAAATGTGATTATTTCAGACAATCCTGGCAAAAATTATTGTGGACACCGCGTGCGTCAAACAAAAATAGATGTATTTGTACAGAATTTTATCCCCAGAAAATTTCTCCCCCTCCTACCCCCAATTCAATGTTGGTAAATGCAACTTTTAAAATTCAAATGGGAGAAACAACTTTGAATAGGGGGCCGGGGGCGAGAAATTTCATGAAAGAACGTCTCAATGTTGTTAATATTGGCATTAGAAAAATTAGGCATCCACATAATTTTGCCAGGATTGTAGCTATGGATCTGGGTAGTGGTTCGTGCTTTTTACCCCTAAGTGGTTGGAACTCTCCAATGTGGATTTCCAGCTGAATGACCTTTCGTAGTCTCCACCCACTACCTCTCCTCTGGTATTCTGAGAAGGACTTTAACATTTTTCCCCTCATGATACCTTGTGTTTCTTCCATATCATCCGTGCCGATAAGTTTGTGGTTTTTTTATCCGAAGTGAGCGATGGTTGACACTTCTTCTCCGGTTTTCGGGTCGCTCCTTACCATTTTGCAGGCCAGGGACATCCTTACGTTCCTGGGTTCCGTTTCGGAGTTTATGAGTGTTTTAACCTCGTCTTCCGTGATGGTTAGGAAGTAGGATGGGTCGTAGTTACCGTTTGGGGTGATGACGTACTTCTTTACCTTTTTCTTGATGGCGTGTTTGGCTAGAATGGGTTTCAGGATTTTGCTCGTTTTTTTCCAGATTTTGCTAAGCTTGTTGCCCACCTTTAACTGGAGTGTGGCAAACTTTTTCTTGCCTTTCCATTTACCCTCTGCGATTCTACGGTTTTCCTCAGCTCGCCTTTCGTGGGCCTTTGCGTTTCGTCGTAGTCGCTGGGTCTCCTTTTTCCACTTTTGGGCCTCGGCTTTCCAGTCCGTGACCTCCTTTCGCCGTCTTTTCTCTTCCTTGACGATGTCGCTTTTCCATTTCTTTGCATCCCTTATTTCCTTTCTTGCGTTAGCATCGGTTTGCCTTCTTCGTCTCTGGAACTGTCTTGCTGCTGATTTGACTTCCTTTCCAATGGCCTTTCTTTTTTCCTTCTTGAGTAGTTTGTTGAAATGGTTGTTAATTTTTCCCTCTATTTTCAAACCCCTTTCTCGGGCCTTCTCCAGAACGTTAGCTCTCATTCGTTCAATAGATGCTAATTTTTTGTCTGAAATTGGAGCATTTTGTTTGGTAAACTCCATTGCTTTATTATATAGAAAAGTTTATCTATAAAGTGATTATAAGGTTGATTCTGTTTTTCAGACCTATAAGGTTTGAAAAAGCAATGGAGTTCACAAAATGCTCACGGAATCGGGCATATAAGAAATGTCCCTTTTATTGTATAGGATTTATTTTGGAAAAGTTGATTCTGTTTGTAAGGCAGGTGACCCGCAGTTGCGTCTTTTAATTTGTCAACCCAGCCAGGTCACTACCTGGCTAAATTTCAGCATGAAAATGTATGAGAATACATGAAAACACCCTGTTTTAGGCAGGGATTTGCAATTGTGTCTTTGGATTTGACAACCTCGCCAGGTCACTACCTGGCAACCTTAATCAATCTGACCCTGAAGGGCTTCCCTCATTTCAGCATCCATCTGCATTTCCTCTAACATTTCCATCTCCTATCCGTGCCTCTTCTATAATCACTTCGTTTTCCATATCCATTATTCTTTGTTCTTCCCTTTCCTCTAACCATTCCTCGCAAGACATACACATATGGAACCAATTATTTATAATATCCGTGGGTGTACCTAGGCGAATCCTGTCTTCTGGACCTTCAAGCCAACAATCAATCTCATCGACGGATTCGGAAATGGTAATTAAGATGTGAATGCCTTTCATACCACCGTAAAGGTAATCCACACCCCGAATTCCAGCGCCTTTTCCCATCCATCCCTTTCCAAATTTAATTCTATGTTTTGCTGGCAAACCTGATTCACCAAATGTATGGATAATGACCGTTATGTCCTTGTAGTCGGTATACTTACACATTCTCGCAATTTGATTTATCTTCTCCGGACAGTTGAAATAGAGTTGGACTTTATTATCCTCCCTCCTAGTGAATTGTCTCATGGTTGCTTTGTTTATATGTAGGAAGTCTTGTCTATAGACTGTTTATTCTGAATTTGAGGTACTTCCGACTAGAACTGAGGTTACTCAAATATAGTCATGAGATTACTCAAATGTAGTCATAAGTTACTCAAATGTAGTCATAAGTTACTCAAATGTAGTCATAAGATACTTTTGACTAGATTTAAGGTTAGTCTTAACTAACTTTTGACTAGATTTAAGGTTAGTCTTAACTACCTTTTACCTTTTACAATTTAGTCAACTTTTTACTATAAATAAAAGGAACCATGTCTGAAGAGAATCCAGATACGACAGCAGTACCTGTATCAAATCCAGTAAAGACTCACGTCAAGGATCCTAGAAGGGTGGAATCCGGACGTAGGCTTGCTAGCATCAGTAAGGAAGCGAAAGCAAGAAAGAAGGCACAACTCGAAGCTATCAAAGAAGAGGAGCAGAGCATTACGGACACAGAGGACAAAGGTGATGGGTCAATAGTCACCCTAGAGAGCGTCGGTTTGGTAGTGGGTATCGCCGTATGGCTTGGATCCCTTTACTTCATGTGGTACAGTAGTCAGGAAAAGGATGAGAGACCAGAGGAAAATAAGATTGTAGAGGAACCGGAACCTGCTGTTATCACACCAAAAGGTCCTGATTTTTTTGACTGAGTATAGTAAAACAATGTCGCAGTTATTCTTGGACATATTGACCTTTTCCGTAGCAGCCGGAACTTATCTTATTTACATCCATGCGGCTAAGGTGGAGGAAGCCAAATGCGAGGCAACGGAAGCTGAACACAAGGAAAGTGAAGACAGGGTGCTCAACACCCTGGAAAGAAGATTCTCTCTAATCCTGGAAGAGAAGCTGAAGGAGAAATAGTTCTACTATAATAAAAAACATAGTGATCAACGAACTGTACGACGCCGCACTACTGACAACCGGGGTTGTTGGGGTATCCTACCTTGCCAGAACGGTTGCCGGAAAAAGCCTAGGTGCACCGATGACTATGGAAGGAGCAGCAAAGTGTGCCGTAGCCGGAAGTGCATTTGCCATAGGATACCTGAAGGATAAGGGATACATCCCAAAAGTAATTGACAAATAAAGAATGACATCTGTTGTGGTTGGAGGACTCTTTAATGCTGTGGCCTTTGCTGGAGCCAGTTTCCTATTCTCCCAGTTGAATGGACAAGGCTACAAGGAAGAGGTAAAAAGACATAACCAAGCCTTAGAGAAGCTTGCAAAAGCCAAGGAGAAGTTTTACGAATCTGAGGTGAAGCGTAGGAATGACGAGGCAAGACGGAGGGCTGAGATTCTGGATGCTAACAAGGATATCGAGGAAACAAACAGGGCCCTGGAAGACCTGAAGGATTATATGAGGCTTATGGATAGTACAGCATCCCAAAGCAGACCGAAATTGGAGGATTACTATCAACCATCGGACGAAATGAAGAGATATGCGGTGTTGACAGTGGGTATACTGGGTGTTGGCGGTGCTTATGGATTAAAACGAATATTTTAAATCTTACAAAAAGATTTTAAAAATCTTATGTTGTCAAGGGGAAGCAATTTACGGTTGTAGCTTTTGATCTGTTGGTTACGTTTCCGGCGGAATCTATGTCCTTAAATTCAACACCCTGGATCTGGATGTTTGTGCTGTTAACTATGAATGAAAAGGATGTCCGGATAATTTTACTCCTCTGGTCAACTGTAAATATGACAATCGCCCCCCTATTCGTTTCGTAGAATCCGTACAGAGGGGATGAGCTCGAATAATTTATTTCATTACCACTGACACTAAATACCATAAATTTTGTATTCTTCTTATCTGTGTCTGTATTGGTGGGTGTTTGTAGAAATCCGGGTGGATACCCAGGTATTTGGGAAAAGTCGTACTGAACCGTGTTTTCTCCCAAACTGTTTAACTTTATGATATCGTTCGTATGTTTGACAACCTCTGCCGTGTTCCTTTGCTGTGCCTTCTCAACTGTTGTCAACTTCCGTTTTAAGGTATTTAGGTCTTCTGCTGTTGTATCAAAGTAATCGTATCCGAATAAGATGCTCATTTTATTTAACGTCAAAATACTAGGTATGCAAGTCCAAAGGATGCTACTGCCACTGTCCCAAGAGCAATATTCTGATTATCAGATTTCTGCCTTAATTCCGGGGGTTTAAAGTCCTCCACAACAGGAACCGGTGTAATGTCATGGCTTTCGTCTATATTATTTGTGGGGGTAGGAACGGGATTACTTGTATAATTCACCTTCTCATTTTTTCCGAACGTCATCCTGTTTTTAGCTACCGTTAGGACGTTGCTGAATCCTGGAATAGGTTTTGTTAAAATCCTCAGGTCTGAAGGAATTAGAATTAAACCCGGCATGATTGCAAAATTTAGGATGACGTGGGTATTAGCAATAGCCATCCTCATGTTGGAAATGGTAACTATCACATCGTCTTGTACAATTGTATCTTTTACCACCTTCCGGAAAACCTGTGTCTGCAAACTTTTTGCACCCTGACCTGTGATACTCCACCTGGTTTTGGCTTGTGCCCCTAATACAGAATACACGAACGCCTCGATAGACTGCTGGAATAATTTCTGTCCAACTCTGGTAAGTCCCCAGGATGTTTTGGGAATAAGGGTTTTATAGTCATTTTCAGCATCGAAGGGTGATCTACCAGTTAGGTATTCATATTCGATAAATGAACCTCCATAACAGGTAAGCTGTAGTACCATGTTCCAATGTTTGTGTGGGAAGAATCCAACCTTTTCTCCCATGTTTCGCGTATGGGTGTATACTTCCTAATAGTCCATTTATCATCTCCTGTGAGGTATTGGTCTAGAAGTTTCGGGTTACGCATGAACCTTGATAGGTGAAAATGAAGATGGAAGCGAACAATGGAGGTTACTATACTGGAGTGTGAGTTTGGAAAATTGTTTGTAACATGATCCGCAGAAATTCCGGACTTAAACATAGCAACATAGCATGCTGCTAGGGAGGAGAAATAAGAGTTCGAATGGTAATCAAAAGGTATAGTGTTGATAAAGGTTTCGGGGGGTTTATCGTATACTGGTTTAATAGGCTCCAGTTTCGTCAGGAAATTTTCTGTCTCTGTAACATAGACCCTAAAGGTATGCACATCCATCTTGAAATCCTTTGGACGGAACATTGCATCCGGATAAACACTTCGCCATCCCTCTACCCAGTACAGGTACTTAGGCCACTCCGGATTTGTGCGGAATGTGTCGGATGTAATATCATAGCTTGTGAGGTCATCCACTTTATAGAAGATGTCTCTGGACTCTACGGTCCCATCCTTGGCAAAGGTAACATTAAAGTCGAACTTGGATAGGGTTGCATTGGGATACTTTTTTATGAAGTCTGCCTTCATTTTCCGGATTTCAACGGGTGCTGCTGCCTTAACCTTCTCATAATTCTTTCCGTAGTAGTTTCGGAAGATATCCTCACTCATCCTTTTATTTGATATAAAGTTCTAGCAAGACATCTCCGGGAACAGCTCCAGTATTAGACCCAATTTCAAACCGAATTTCACTGTATTTACCAGCATCCACCCGTACTTGGCTTTCAATGTCATTGTATTTCGTTGTAGTCCCGAAGAGGGGTCTGGTTCCATTGATGGGAAGGGAAGTGATGACGGTACTCCGATTTCTGTACGGTCCGATGTTATGCTCACGATTCACAAGGTTACAGCTGACTGTTAGGTAACGCAAGTCTTCATGGATGTCTATGGAACGATCGCTGATGTGTGGGGTGTATGTAGGACCATTGGAGGACCGATATCCCAAAATACTCGTAAGATTCCGGAGACCTGCGGAATTTGTTCCCTTAGCAAAGTCATCCTTATTCTTCCACCGGGATATTCCTCAAGTGTTAATCCGTTTCTCTCCAGCTCTTTCCTAAGCTGTTTAAAGGTCCAGTACCCTTCATCTATCATAATCTTCTTCCCATCTACGGAGATGTAGTCATTGTATCCCTTACGAATGTTCTTATAATTCCAAAACACAGCGACAGTTTTCACATAAAGCTCGGATCTGTGGGTAAGGATCAGTGGATTCTGTATATCCAGGCTAACCCCTCCGTCTTCAACATAGACTGTTATCTTCTTCTTGTTTTATTTACAGGGAATAAAATGAGTCTGGCATTGGATGTAGCCCTTCGGGAAATATACTTTAACGTTAATGGTGGGTACATGTCGATGGAAAAATTATACCAAAGTGCAAAGGGCATAAAGGGAGTTAGAAAAATGTTAAAGAATGGTTACAGACACAAAACACCTACATTATTCACAAACCGTCCAGAAAACATTACAAGACCCAGAGGACCTATGTGGATGGACTTGCACAGCAAATTGAAAAGGACTTTGTGGATATGAGTAAGTTCAGTCATAAGAATAAGGGAAACCGTTGGATTCTTACTGTCATAGAGGTTTTGAGCCGGTATGCGTTCGCAATTCCCGTATGGAGAAAAAATACCGAAAGCATGACAAAGGCTGTTGAAAATGTGCTCATACAATTTAAGGAAAGGTTCGGTAGGTATCCTAAAACGGCACAGTTCGACAATGGAAAGGAATTCTACAATGTAGGAGTAAAGACGTTGCTAAAGGATCATGATGTTCACTACTTTTTCACAAGGACCTTCCGGAAAGCTGCACTTGTTGAAAGATTCAATAGGACTCTGAAGACAAGGATGTGGAAATACTTTACAAAAAATAGGACGAAAGTTTGGGTGGGCATCTTACCTGCTCTCATTAGATCCTATAATAATTCCACACACAGAACAATAGGAATGAAACCAGCGGATGTGAATGAGGAAAACAAGGATGAAGTTTGGACAAGAATCTACGGATATCCACTAAGCAGTTTTCCGGATCCTAAATTTAAGGTTGGGGATCATGTCAGGGTGGAAATAAAGCACAAGACCTTTGAAAAGGGATACAAACCCAATTTTGACAACAAACTGTATACCGTCACGGCAGTATTTCGGGGAGATCCCAACATGCACAGTCTTAAGGATCTGGAGGATGGGGAGGACATTCTGGGAAGGTATTATGAACAGGAATTATCTTTAGACTTAAATAAAAATGGATACCATAGAGATGGACAACCTTAACCAACTGGAAGGAGCTAAAGGAGGTGATGAGGGTGCTATCGCCGAAACACCCATTGACGAAGACAGCTTCCAGGCCGGTCTGGACGACTTGAACAGGCAAGACGACGATGTGTGGATGTCAACCGTTTGGGAGGAAAACAGGAATGACACATTCAGGAAGAGAAAAAAGGAAACAAACCGTTTGTATGCAGTCGGATCATCCAACGAATTAAAAGCAGAATACATCAGAATGCTTTTCAAGAATAATTACAGACTAAACCCAAATGATGGCGAATTCCCTAAAGACTTCTCCCGGATAGACATTAGTAAACATTGGTTATCATTTGACGAAAACGGGGTAGCATACATCGGTAAGGATGGTAAATGCTACTTATCAAAAACTGCAGTCAACACACAGGACCAACCACCAGCCCACAATCATTACATGTCCTTTGTCCATCCACTGCGACAAACTGATGTTTATGCCCTTCAAAACAAAAATTTTTGTTGGGAAATTCTATAGGCTCAGGCTCCTTCGGACCAAGGGAATTCAAGTACTCCTTTTCCGCTATTTCAAAAAGCTCCATGTTCTTACTCCTCTTCCTTGGTTCCCAGGGTGGATACAACTTTTCATGGTACACCAGAAGGGTCTTTACAAAAGGAGAATCCATACCGCATAATAACTCCCAATTTAGAACCCCTTCATCAAAGTCCCAACCAATGGAGTTTAAGCACGCCACCTGAATGATGTCCAGATCCCTGTAACTATCCCTTCCTATAATCTCACAAAATAAATCCATACCTTTACTTATACACATTTCCTTTAAACCATTTACCTTTCCCCTGGCTTTTTTCAATTAGCTCACATACGGATTCTGTCTAGCCCTTCAGGAAGACTCAAAAAAGCGTGTGGGATGCGGTGGGTGCAGTGAGCTTGCGGAGGATGTGGCGGATGGATCGCGGAGGAGTTGTGGATGGCTGTGCATGGCTGCGCGAGCGGTGGGGGAGGTGACCGAGTCAAGAAAATGAAAAGCCATGAAGACATAGTCTGGCGACATGTGCCTACCAATGACAATCCAGTGGATCTGGGAGCAGGGGGCGTAATGTCAATGGTAACAAATTGTGGTGGAATGGTCCTGATTGGTTGTCGAACAAATGCCAATGGCCACCCAATCTTGTGACGAAACCAAGCGAAACGAGTGAGGCCGAAAGGAAAGTCCAACGCAAGCTGTTCGCAGTTGGTGTCAAAAGGGCGAACAGTCTTGTCGATAGAGTACTGGAGAAGTTAGATTTGTGTAAGGCGTTAAGAGTGATGTGTTATGTAGCACGGTTCATCAACAATTGTCGACCTTTAGCAGAGAAACGGGTGAAATCTCCACGGACAAATATGTGAAGCAAGAAACGCTCATGGTGAAACAAGCACAACAGCGAGTGAAAAGCCTTCCGACGTTCTTAGAGGATAAAGAACAGTTACGGCTCAAGTTAAATGAAGATGAGATCTGGGAATGCCACAGGTGTATTCAAGGGGAATATCCTATCTATTTACCGGATAAGGAATTGTTCACAGCGAAAGTCGTGCATCGGTCCCATGTGTCCACTTTGCACAGCGGTGTCGGTATCGTGATGGCCAAGGTCTGTGAAAGATACTAGGTCCGCAGGTTAAGAAAGCTTGTGAAGAAGATTATTTCGAACTGTTGGGAATGTAAACGTTTTCGGGCTCTGCCAGCTCCTGGCCTGCTTCCAAAGTGTCGAACTGCGCAATCTAACCCTTTCAATGTCATTGGGGTTAACTTTGCAGGACCTGTGAAATATCGTAAGAAGAACAAAGAAGCTAAGTCGTACATCGTGCAGTGTTCTTGTAGTATAACGAAATGCATGTTCCTTGACCTGCTACCAAGCCTCGAAACAACTGAATTCCTGAAGAGCTTGAAAGGTTTATCGCTAGACGAGGAAGACCCTCAATTATCTACTCAGATAATGGTTCCACGTTTTTGGCTGCCTCAAAGTGGGTGAGATGTGTGTGCAGAGATGAAGAGTTAAATAACTGTCTCCGGACTTACACAATCTCATGACGTTTCAATTTAAGTCGAGCCCCCTGGTTGTGAGGGCAGTTTGAACGATTACAAGCTATTATGAGACCAGTTGGAAAGAGCCATTCAACATTTGTATCCTCTTGAACTAAGCTGTGACACTTTTAAACGGATGGATGGGGAGAATGTTATCATCCAGAAGCCAGTCCAGCTGAATCCGCCCAGATTCATGCTGAAAAGACATGCTGCTGCCGAGGCTCGGAGATGGATTTACGAACAGTTATGTGATGAACAGACACTTGATTAATAATTATCTTATATCTGAACATTAGGGAGTGGTCATTATTTATGGGGAGAGGGCGGGGGAAATGGGAGAGGGGGAATGGGAGGGGGAAACGAAGTTTTACCCTTATAAATAGGGGGTCAAAAAAGTTTTAACACAGAAGGGGGGGGGGGTCAAAAGTTTTTGAACTTAAATACCATGTCTAGAATTCTGATTTCTATAACCACAAATAGCAAAATACTATTTCGAACGATCTAGAGACTCAAATTTTCAAAATTTCCCTGCTCTGCGTCAACCATGGTAGCGCCTCGCGATCATGGGAGTTGGACCCACTAAGTTTAACAAACTTTCTACCCCTTGATTGACCCAGTTGTGGTATTTACATAAACATACCATGCAAGTGCACTTAACTGATCAGATTTGGTCTATCAACGCACAATGTAAAGCTGTATATCCAATAATCTGTTTCAGAAAATGTTCACATTTCAGTTCTAGGGGTGGAAAAATACAAAACATTTCCTGGGGGAGAATACCCCCGGACCCCCCTACTAATACATACAATAGCACACCAAACTTTTTGTCACCAACAACCATCTGTCATCTCTCCACACTCAATATAGTATGATCCCTTTTTGTAGATGCCCACCCCCCAGACATGTTCTTAAAAAAACCCTGTGTTCAAATCATTTCACTGTATGAAGACGGGTCATGGTTATGGTAGGACAAATGTTGCATTGCAAAGTAGTAACACATAATATATATTTTTAATCATATATGGTGAATCATATTCACCAGGGTAAAACATCATGAACTAGATTAAACAGATTGTCCTAATATTTAACTTTACCTGCAACACCCCCCCGTTTCATTGCTGTTAATTTTTCAATCCACACTGGGGGGGTCAGAAAAGTTTCTACTTTTATGAGGGGGGAGGCACAAAAAGTTTGCCTTCAGTCTGGAGGGGGGGGGTCAAAAAAGTTTTCAATCCTTATTTTCCCCATTTCCCAACCCCCCCCCTCCCATAAATAATGACCACTTCCTTACATTAACATAATTGAACTCTAGGTCGAACAGTTACTGTTGAGTTTTCTATAATTAGACATGTATATGATTTAACAACAATATGCATGAGGGAGGGTGTAGAAAACTTCATTTTACTTTTATATAGTGACTACTGAGCACGAGTTCTAGTGAGCGTTTATATACAGTGATGTGAGTTTATAGTTTATATTAAATAAAGAACGTTATCTAAAGTGAATTGTGAGTTTTAAATAGTGGCTCGAGAGTGCTACATTTTCGACAGTATTTACATTAATATCAACAAGCGCTTTATTCATTGGTTCGGTATCGTAGATTGCCTGAAAACTTTCGTTTTTTCTACCTTTTATAATCCTTAGGCATCTCAACAAAAATTGAAATATAATAGGAATAATGTAGAACAGTAAAACGTCAAAGAATCAGTAAAAATCAGGAACAATTTCCGCGATGAAAATTTACATAATGGCGATTTTGAGCAAAAAAATATGCAAATATTCATTTTTGTTGACGGTAAAAATGGTCAGCAGTTTGGTATGCAATTATCCCCAGAGGGGGGAGGGGTACTACATAGATTGGTTTTGAAATAAACAGAATTAAGAGAGGTTTTTTGGTGTAAACAATGGTTGCCAAGGCTGTTCCTATGAGTAAATTTTGTGGTAACCCTAATAAAAATGCCATTTTCTTCATTTTTGTGCATGTTTCGAAGGAAAAAACTCGGAATACGATGGAGAGAATAATGATTACATTTTCAGTAATTTTCAAATTTGGCGATAAATTTACCATTTTATAGCTAAATTTTGTGTAAGACCACCAAGAGAGGGGTGTTAATATGGTTCCAAATGAAAGCAACACTTTTCTTTGTGAGATCCCGCAATGGTGTAGTAATTACGGCATACTCTGGAACATACTCACGACATGTGTTCCCCAAACACGACAACCTAAATTGTCAATTCTTGCTGGATCTGGTCTTGTTCCATTTGCTGTAAAAATTAAACTGTAGAAATTAATCTCATTGCACAAGGAAACTACAGTTCTCATGGTTTGTTTTTAAGTTGAGTTGAACTAGTCATTTCAAACAGTTCTCTAATGATTTGTCATGTTGCTTTCGCATTTTCCCATGAACCATGATGTCATCTGCAATATTCTTTACTCCACGAATGTCACTAAGATTTTGTTGCAAAATGTTCTGAAAAAGTTCTGGCGCACTGTTCGTTCTGTAGTTCAGTCGTTTGTAGCAAAATAGGCCTTTGTGCGTCAAGAATGTAGTTATGTACTGACTTTTTTCTTTCAATTCCAGTTGATGGTACACCTGTTTGAGGTCAATTTTTGAAAAATATTTTGATCCATTCATTTCTGCACGGAAATCAGAAAGTGTTGGCATAATGTGTCTTTCATGCTTAATCGCTTGGTTGGCTGCTCTCATGTCAACGCAGATTTGTGTTCCACTGACGTTCTTTGGAGTACACACAATTGGTGAAATCCACAGGGTAGGTTGGTCACAGATTTTTCGAATGTATATTCCACAACCAATTTCTGTAAAGCTTTGGTACGTCATTGCATATATGGTATAGTATATGATGCTGCAGTTGAACCACTGGTTTAATATTCTCAATATGTAACCCAACTTGTTGCGTGTTCAATTTCCCTTCACCAACAAAAACAGTTGCGTATTTATCAATAATCTTCTGGATCTCTTGGTCTTCGCATTTTGGCATCGATGCATGAGGGGTAGGCTGCTGTTTATCTGTGTTCTCCATGTTTCCGGGCAGTATGGGCTGAGTTTCTGGTTTAGAAACTTTCAGTTTAGACACTTCCGGTTTTGGTGGTGTTTCAAGCGCATGTTTCCGGGCAGTATGGGCTGAGTTTCTGGTTTAGAAACTTTCAGTTTAGACACTTCCGGTTTTGGTGGTGTTTCAAGTTCCCTGACCTTGTTTACTAATTGAATTAATGCCAAATCTTGAGCCGTTTTCGCACTAAGTAAATTTCCAGAGCTGCCTTTGACAACGTGAATAACAGAGACAGTATAACGTTTGTTCGATTCTACCATTGCCTGAAATTCACCTTTAAGAGGTAGTGGTTTGTTTGAGCCATAAGCAAATATCTTGGTCATACTTTTGCATAATCTGATGCTCGACTTGAGGTGATCATAGGTTTTGGAGTCGATAACATCAACTGTTGCTACCGTGTCAACGATGAAATTGATTTCAACAGAATTAACTCATATTTTTGCTCTCGTCTTTGGGTCACTTTTGTTTTCCACAGTATAAACATAATCTTCCTCAGAACTGGTCTCTGTCGATGAATCGAGATGTTTTTTGACAGCCTGTACATGATTTCTTCACTTGTTTCTCGTGGATTCGGATTTAAACAGCTTGTTTGGTTGTTCTCATTGTCTAGGCGATTCTTGTGCTATTTGTGGCTTGGAAAAACGACGTGATTCTTTCATTCGACACACTGTAGCGAAATGACCAAGTATGCCACACAAGTTACAAGTTCAATTTTCGGCTGGACAAAGACTATGCAAGTAAGGGTAAGCAAATCCACAGTTATAACACTTAGATTGAGCAGGTTTTCTCTCAACTTGATTAAGTTGTACATCCTTAATTTTTTCTTCCATGCCACTGGCTTGTGCAGTACAGTTTTCTGATTTTCGACCATCGATCAACATATCTTTGAGTGAATAATTGCTTTCTTTTAATGCTTTCTTACGCAGTCTCGAGGATGTACCATTGCACACAATTTGCATTTCGAATTCAACATCCAGGAACTCACAATGTTTTGCTAATCATCTCAAGCATGTGTGAAATTCGTCGATGGTTTCATTATCTTGTTGAGATGCTTGTCTAAACATATATGTTTGATAGATTCGATTTTTCTCTGGTTCAAAATATGCAGTGAGGGCATCCTGTGTCAGGTAATGTTTTGAATATTTCAAGAACTTCAGGTCCAGCTTGATACAATAATAGTGCTCTTTTATGTGCAGTGTCCTTCACATTTGAAGTGACTAAATCTGTGTTAAAACATTGAATCCACTGTGTCCATCAAGCGCTTGTATTCGTTGGATCAGCTTTCGGTTCGAACAAAGGCATTGGCTGTAAGCCATTCATTGCCATAATTTATCCTCATCGCCAATGTAGTAATCAAACAATCTTTATAGTTATATATTTTCATTTACTTACTTACTAGATACAAACTAAATGTTTTCTCCTTCGCACCCTAATTACATGTGTTCTTATTTTCCCGCACATTATAATTTATTCTCTAAATTATGTAAACTGTCAATCACTACAGGCCCCTTTCCCAACAACGAAAACCAGAGAACTGCTATTTCCCTTACAACTCCAGCAGTGCACACAGTTGAAATTCGGTTGACTGGAAAGAGGTTTGTATGCGACAGCAATTGATATAAGGAGTGTGCAATATGTGCTTGCACTATTGCCGTGCTGCATAAAACTGGCAAATTAGAAGAATTTGTAGCAGTTTACAAAGTCCCAATTTGTCGAATGGTGCAAGAAAAACATACCAACCGGTTCTGGAAAAAAAGACAATGAGAAATCGATGAAATATAAGCGAACTTAGCATGCTCATCGAGATAAACATCTCTTTATGGAGAGTGTGTAGAAGCTAGCAGCTCAAAATTTTCAAATAATGGAAGTGATGGCCAATACGAGATCATCTTCATAAAGGATACTGCCACCACACAATGTTATGGATGTAAAGGAAGAATATGTGAGAAACCGTCATCCCAGCATGACACTAAATATACCCTGTTGCAACGATAAACTCCTGATAAATCTGCGACCTGTGATCCGCGACCTGTGAAATAGATCTGTTGCATAGTCAGCCATGTAAAATATAATTTAGTTATGTGAAATAACTATTTTGTCATGGATAAACTCTGTGCAAATGAGCATGTCTCTAATGTCATTTTTCTAATACACCTTAGGTTTGCTGTGTTATATAGCATCTTTTGTAGGTGTGTTATGTAACATACCTTGGTGTGTTATGAAACACACCTTACAAGGTGCTGTAAACATGACCGACTTGAATGGTGTTATACAGCACAACTTTAGGTGTGTTCTAAAACACGCCATAGTGTGCTCAAAAACACACCTTTACACAAAACACACCTTAAGGTGTGTTAAAATTTGGACAAGCCGAACAAACACGACAAAACACACCAAAAGCTGTGTTCTTATTATTTGTTGTTCTTACACACCAAAAGCTGTGTTCTTATTCTTATACAAAACACACCAAAAGCTGTGTTCTGTGATATATATATAATATATATATATATATATATATAATATATAATATATATATATATATATAATATATATATATATATAATATATATATATATATAATATATATATAATATATATATAATATATATATAATATATATATAATATATATATAATATATATATAATATATATATAATATATATATAATATATATATAATATATATATAATATATATATAATATATATATATATATAATATATATATATATAATATATATAATATATATAATATATATAATATATATAATATATATAATATATATATAATATATATATAATATACATATATAATATATATATATAATATATATATATAATATATATATATATA